CTTAGATTCATGTTTTTTATATTTTTTATTTCCAAAAATATAGTCATTAAATGAACGTTGAAAAAAAGTATGGACCTTTGATACCTTTTTTCCCCCTTTCTGCCCAAGAACCAAAGCTAATATGTGTACAGATCGAGTAAGTCTTTATTGTGCTTTAGTGCTCGCATACATTTTCTATCATTAATTATCGGTTGGATAAAAAATTCAATTTTTTTCAATGATTTTGCCGTTCATTTCGGAAATTTCTTACTTTTCTCTCTTTGATCACATATTTAAAAAGTAAAAAGTATCATAACCACACTCTGAGTCAGCTACCGATCACAAAAAAAAGCAGGATATTGTGTAATTCTAGAAACCCATTAATATCAGACTTTCTCTGCACGGTTACATACTGCTCGTTTGAGAAATACTTGTAGTATTACAAAGTAAGACTAGGGGTTAAGAAACAACGAAACCATATAAGAAGGTAAGAGAAGTGCGACCAAAGGGAAAACTGTGGCTCTCATGAGCTTCAGCACCAGTGCAAGCGATCCAGGGCCTCATTTTGAGTGCACAATTCGTTTGCCCACACCTGATTCTGCATCAGCTAATATTTTGCTCACGATCCTTAAGTACGAGCAAGGTTTGAGTGGTATAACAAAAGAAGTAGATGTGTGGCGAAATGACGCTACCTTGAGTACTGTACTAATAGTGCTTCGGGGGGCGACAATCCGCTCCTTACGTGCAGCGGTAAGCTCGACACTAGAACAAGCAAAACTGGTGCTGCGCACTATGAGATTGTATCCGCCGAATACTCAGTGATGTAGAACCCAAAAGATTATATTTAGTGGTCATCAATATTCTATGTTTTTTTCCCAACACAACTGATTATTACTGGTGCTGTCACTTCTCCTTCTTTATTTCTTTGACTTACTTCTGATTCCCATGGTGATATAAATGCTACGCCTTTATTCGAATAAATTACACAGTCTTTCTATCTACATTATCTACTATTAATAATAAAAGGATAATAACTACGTATTAAATCCATTTTATATTTCAACCAAGTATAATTGATGTCCGTGAAAGACGTAAACACTAAGGCGACCGCGCTGGAGAGCAAGCTTGTTGGGAAGCTGTTTCTAGGTGGTGCAAAGCCCTCTATCGACGATGTAAAGTTGTTTAATGACCTCCTCGGCAACAACAACCTAAATCTGTTTCGATGGGTGAAGAATGTCGCGACGTTCTCCGAGGGGGATCGCCGTTCATGGGGTGCACCTTTGAAAGTGAAGCCACTCACGGAGACTGGGAACCCCATCCCTTCTGCCGCTGCAAAGCCTGCACCCGTAGCTGATGCGAAGCCCGCTCCTGCGGGGGAAGAAGAGGATATCGATTTTTTTGGTGAAGAAACTGAAGAGGATAAGGCAGCACTGGCGGCGAAGAAAGCTAAGGATGCGGAGAAGAAAAAGGCCAAGCCCGCTGTGATTGCAAAGTCCTCAATTTTGTACGACATCAAAGGTTGGGATGACACAGTTGATCTCGAAGAGCTTGCAAAGAAGCTAAATGCCATTCAACGGGATGGCCTTGTCTGGGGTGATCACAAGCTTGTGCCTGTTGCTTATGGTGTTAAGAAATTGCAGCAGCTCATTGTGATTGAGGATGACAAGGTATCTGGTGATGACCTGGAGGAGATGATCACGTCATTTGAGAATGAGGTCCAGTCGATTGATATTGTTGCTTGGAATAAGATTTAATAGAATAAGAAGCGTCGAAATACTGTGGCACGGATTGATATTACCAAATATATTAATGAGACAAATATTCAAAGAAATGTAAAAATTGCATTTTTTGAGTATATAAAGAAGTAATAGGGAATGAATATTATAAGGTTTACTTTAAAATCTAATAGTAAAAATTGAATTATTAAAAATATGACCGATAATGGGAAAAAGTCTGTGTAAGCTACATGCATACAATAGTATTGAAACATTTTGAAAACAATAATATTGTACTTATTTGAGTCTTATCAATATCCACACTCGTTCCTCATTCCATATATTTATTATATTTTCCTATATTCTGGGCCATTTTTTAACATAAAATACATACTTATACAAATTTCGAAGTTTTTTTTAGTGCTCAATATTTATTGTAGGCATACCCGCAAAATAAAAATATTGCTTCATATATTTCAGTGGGGACATACATATCTTTGAGCGAAATAGATTAGCTTGTTATCTATTTATTTTACAATAGATTAGACGAATTTTTTCATTGTCTAACTGGATATCCTTCAAATACCCATTTATATACACTCTTTTGCAAGTAAAGCCTTCATAACTTAGACAGAAGAACAACTGGGGGCATGTCGATGTTAACAAGCCCGCAACGATGCCGCAAGCGAAGTCGTTCAGCTTCCTTAGATTCTAATGTGTCTTCGAATAGTAACTCTGATTTGTCCATTACAGGAAGGAACACATTAGTTAATCCTGAGTCTAGTGTGCACGAAGTAAAGAAGAATGACCCTTATACAGACAAGGCCATGAAGAATAAAGCGCCTTCAAAGCAACGATCACCTATAGGTTCGTCGACGACAGTCACCGCCAAACATCGAGCACAAAAGGAATCACGTAGTGAAGTCGATATAGCAGCATGTTCAGCTATTAATGGCAGTTGTGTTTCACCTGAGATGAGCTCGAGAGAAAACGAGAGAGATGCAATCCAACATATTGTAAGCTCCATCATTGCTAACTGGAAGAGTGGGTCCAAGTTGTTAAACGAGACGATTATTCAAACCATACTGCGACGTGTTCGTCCACTACTCATGACCGAACCGATGCTGGTGCCTGTTCAAGCCCCTGTCAATGTGTGTGGTGATCTTCATGGTCAAATCACTGACCTAGTGGAAATATTCAAGGCCGGTGGGGTTCCTCCAAAATCACGTTACTTATTTCTTGGTGATTATGTTGATAGAGGAAAGTATGGCACCGAGGTCATCATAACACTTCTTGGGCTGAAGTTACTTTACCCATCGCAAGTCTATATCTTGCGTGGAAATCACGAGACGGACAGTATTTGCCGAATTTATGGCTTCTTTGACGAGGTCAAACGGCGTTTTAGCGTCAAGCTTTTTAAAGAATTCACTGATGTGTTCAACTGTTTGCCTATCTCCGCACTCATCGAGGGCATCGCTCTCTGTATGCACGGTGGAATCAGTCCGGAGTTACGGAGCTTACGCCAGATCGAACGGATTCCACGTCCGCTGGTTGTGGCCGACGAAGGGTTGGCCTGCGATATACTCTGGTCTGATCCTCTTGAGGAAAGCTGTGGTTGGCTCCCAAGTGATCGTGGTGTAAGCTATACGTTTGGTGAAGATGAGGTACATAAGATATGTACAACATTAGGTATTGATATCATTCTGCGTGCACATCAGGTGGTGGATAACGGCTACTCCTTTTTTGCAGGAAGACAGCTTGTAACTCTTTTTAGTGCTTCCAACTACTGTGGCGAATTCACTAACTCAGGTGCAATGATGCTAATGGATGAAAGCTGTAAGTGCAGCTTTCAGATTTTCAAGCCCCAATATGACTAAAATCAGAAGCAAGAATTCCATAGAACGGCAATGTTGTATACATTTTATAGCTATAAAAATTCAGCTAAAGTAGTAACTAAGTCTAGCGTGTTAATCTTGAAGTGGCGTGCACTTCAAAGATAAATTAATGATCACTTTTATCAATCAACCGAAAAGCCCTTTTCTGATGATGAACTAAAGGCTAATATAGGGGTCATAGAGGTATCTGTATATTTATACATGTTTGCTCTTTGCATTGTAGCTAACAATTTAAGGAATATAAATATCGGCACGGTAAAATTCGTGTTGAACATGAAGCTTTTTCCCCCCTTTTTTTTTGCACAACCTAAGGTGATCAATAATTTAAGTAGTTAAACGTTTATTCGCTGCTGAAGCGCATGAATTGTTTGTAAACCGGAACGTAACTAAACTAACAAGCATAAATGTCTATTTATGTGTTCCCTACATCTTGAAATTGTTGCACATAGAATATTAGTGATTATTCATTAGCAAAAATGTGCTCCCTTTATTTTACTATATGATAATCCTTTTCCATAAATATTTATCATTATAATTCCCTTTCTTATTTTTAGTAAGCCTACTCAGCAGTCATTTTCATGGCCGTGCCCTCACGCAAGAATGTGCACCGCGCTCAGCGCAAGCAGATCAAGAAGCACCGTCCCGACATCATTGTGATCGACCTTCGGGACCATGTCCTAGGACGTGCCGCAGCCGTCGTCGCCAAGCAGCTACTCCTGGGAAAGAAGATCACGGTGGTGCGATGCGAGAAGCTCACCATCGCTGGCACGGAGATTCGTAACAAGATCAAATACCTGCAGTTCCTCCGCAAGCGCAAGCTGACCAACCCCACTCTGGGCCCCTTCCACCACCGCTCCCCCTCCGACATCTTCGTCCGCACCGTCCGCTCCATGCTGCCGCGCTACACCAAGCGCGGGATGACGGCCCTCCATTCTCTCGTGGCCTACGAGGGTGTCCCTCCGAACATCGTGCGGGCGGGGGGCCGCGTCGTGATCCCGCGGGCCCAACGCCACCACTGCTACCGCGCGGAGCGCCCCTACACTGTCTTGGGGAACATGTGCAAGCACGTAGGCTGGAAGTACAGCGACGTCGTGGAGAAGCTGGAGAAGGCCCGTGTGGAGAAGTCTCAGCGCCATTATAATAAGAAGGAAAAGCTCCGCCAGGCCTGGCGCAACGCGCGCAAGGAAGCGCTTCAGAAGATGCCAAAGCACAACGTTGAGGTCCTCAAGAAATTTGGTCTTGCATGAAAACGTCGATAAAAAGGAATGACGCTGACGAAGCGCATACCATTATTGACTACGAGAGCTCTGAGTATGTTACATGGTTAGTCTTTTATTTTCCTAAAGAAAAACATATGGATATATATGGAAAGGTGATCGGGTTTGATCACTACATACTTGGCTTTTGATTACAGAGGTGATTTTTTTTTTCTAATACATAAAGAAGGGTCCCAGAATGCGTGCTTTCTTTCTCTCTCTTTTTTTTTTTAGTCATCCACCGCAAAGTTCCTCAAAACTGACTACAAAGAAATTTAAGACATTTTTTTTACAGAATACAGTACTGTGGGACCTTTGCATACATTTATTTAGATCTCCTCTGCATCTTTGTGTAGGAAGCATATCTAATTGTTCTGCCAATGGTACGAGAAGTAAATCGAGGCCTGACAGTTTCGCGTTCTTCTACCTCAGGGTTAGCGCGTGCCCCTGGCGCACCTTATGGAAAGCCAGTACCGGGGTCATCGCAACAACCGCCTCCTGCTACCGCCGTTCCAAATGGGGGTAGTCATTTGCCTCGACTCACTATCAATAATTTTGCTACATTTCACGCTCGACAGAAAAAGCTTCCTCCAGATGCGAACACTAAGGCAGCAGTCAACACAAAACTTTGGCAGTTCCCGGAGAGGGTCTGCTTCAGCTGCGTTAAATGTCGCCGAGATAATATCCACTCAGACTCGGTTGCTGTCGACTTGGTAAACGGAATTATTCTATGTACTGCTTGTTTTACACGTATCATCCGCCCTCGGACGTACCGGCCTAGCAGAGTGGTACCGTTTCCGTCTTTACTGTCGTGGTTGAACTACAAGCCAAGCAAGGTGATGGATGTATCTGAGGATGTACTTAGTCGCCCGGCAGAGGCGGTGGCACCATCAGGGGATCGTATGGCCGTACCTACCCTTTCCGGAGGGGACCAATCTTTTAATATAAACAAACTTCCGGCGATCGCGATGAACACCGTACCGACTTCCTCCATAACTTCTAAAGTCTCCAAAGTCGGTGCCTCAGGAACTTCTAGTGGGCCGGTACATACATCGTCTGCGGTTGAACGTGCTGAAAAACATCCATGTCTTCGGATTTGGGGCAACTGCCAGCACGGCGGGACTTGTTTGTTCCGTAACGCACCTTTTGATCTGTGTTTGGCCTATCTCATGGGACTGTGTAGAGTGGAGGAGGAACCCAATGGTGCCCCTAGTAGAGATGAGAATGGTACCAAATGTCCGTTCCTTCACCAAATGATTTACGATCTTCCGAACAAAATGAACCCACCACCAATGCTGCGCCACAAAAATGATTTAGAAGACGAGGACAGCGCTTGGGCGCAGTGGGTTCGCTGTCGAAAAAATAGTCGCAACAGCGCGGAATGGCAGCTGTGGAATAACGGACCCATAGAGGGACTGCTTGACATGTATACACCTGTGGCAGCCCAAGAAAAGGAGTCAGGGGTGGATAAAGACGAAGAATCCGAGCGAAGCACAACAGAGATTAAGCTTAATTTTTCAGATATCATGTTTGCCTTGCGCGAGATCAAATAAAGCATGTTTTGCTTTTCTAAGAATGGATGGAAAAATCTACGCTTGTAGGTATTGTTTGTTAACACTACTGTTACGGTTAGCTTTGAGGGAGTTCCATTTTATCCCTTATATGCACAGAATCACATACAACACGATATAGAATTATTGACTGTGAACCTTCAAGAAGCATTTTTAATACCCTTTTACATTATTTCCCCCCAATTAATAGTGGTAACGTATACTTCTGCGAAAAGAGCAAAAAGGTAAACAAAGTATGTTTCATCTAATTTGGCGATTGCACCCTTTGGGCAATACTAGTCGGAGTTTAGCAACGCAGTTCAGAAGTTTTCCTTTTCATCATTCTCATCTTCATTGCCAGCACTCTATCCGCTATTTTTTATCAACAAGGATCTCTACCGATCCGTCCGATCTTACTACAAATCTTGATTCAGAAGGAGACACTGTGTGTGAAAACACTTTCATGTCTTTTTTTGGTGCATCAGAAAAGTCAAGTAAGGAGTACGAAACCGAGCGACAGGATCTCGTGCATTTATCCCGTGATAATTTCTCACGACGTCTGCGCCTTTTTAGCCGAAATAACTTTGACAACAAACAGCGTCTGCTGCTTCACGCACATTTGATGGAACTGCTTCAGAGTCGACTGTCAAACGTGACAGACAAGATTATCCACGATTACATTCGTTTGGCTTATATTGCTGAGTTTTATGATTTAAGTCTGACTATTTTTCATGCACGACATCGGTTAGACCTTCACCAGGGACAGATTAGTGATGATGCAATGGCAAGAAAAACACCTAGTGATGCCAATGCATCTTCTAATTTGTTGACATCCCTCCAGAATGTCAACGACGTCGGGGTTTCGGATGCATCTTTGCCATCGCAAGGTACGAAAAACTCCTTTGTGGTGTCCGAGTACATCGTTGACAGTGCCTATGCTCTGCAACATCATGCGGAGCTGGTCCGACTGGCGTCCTGCTGTAGTTGTTATCTACGAGAATGTGCGACGATCCCTGGCGTTATACCAGAAACAATGGCTTATTTATCTCTGCTGCGTTGTTTCTGGCGCGCAGTATGTCTCTCGGAGGAATTTTCTAGGGAAGAGGCCGACAATGGCAGTGGTGGTAATAGCAAGCAGACACTTGATGATGCACGTTATATCATGAAACATTATGTGACACCACTCTTCCCTATGAACAATACTATGACTCATTCATCAAGAAGTACGATTTTAGATTCTTTTATGCGGAGCGTTGTGCGTGTGGTAAAGTATGACTCTAGTGGTGATAGCGGCGAGATGCTTTTTTTCAAACGTTGTCTTGAGCTTGGATTCTTCAACACAATATTGACCAATCACCAATCTTTCCAAAGAAAGAGCAGGAAGGATACAGTTGAGTCTAAAAATGGTGGTCCCGAAACGCAGGTCGGGGTTCTTACTCATGATGAATACGAACACGATGATGGAGGCATCTTGCACACAGAAGTAGACCTATCCATTCTTACGATGCCCTCGACATCGCATTCTACTAGTGATGTTGATTTTTTGTGTGCGCATCTCATTAATACGTGCGCAGCTGGTAAACACACTGCGACTGCAATGACTTACCTAGACTATGCTCGGAAAAGTATCGGTTTACCGCCTATTCTTATTGGTAGTCTGGATGGTACGCGTGGAGGCTTTTTAGTCGGGGAAACCACTAGTAAAAAAACAAGTGATGTTAATGGTGCAGGTCTGTTCAGCATACCTCATCCTTTAAAATCAATACAGGGGGATGCTTCTACAGCCACGCAAGTATCAGTCTCCGAATATGTCTTATATCGCCTTCTTCATGTTTTGCATATCACCCGCGATAACAGTCATATCATTGATCTGGCACGTACGATGCTACGAGAATGTGGTGCCAGCAGTATTGGCATCAGTGTGTGGTCCATTATCCTTGTGTCCGCCGGCGAAGTTCGTGCGACTGATGTTGCCCTCGAGGCGTATCACATCGCCCGGAGTTTACTTCAGGACAGCGGCGAGGTGACGATGTCCCCTACTGAGCAGCAAAAATATGAGTATCTGCTTCAGACTTCCCTTAATACTCTGTCGAAATGCCAAATGAAGAACTTCGAACAACAGTACCTTATACCGTGCCAGGAGGCCGGCCTTTTGAACTGCACCGAGGAGTTTTACTTTTGTTGCTTGCTCCAGGACGCCCACAATTCGTTAGACCCTGTGGGCCAATGCAGGGCCATTCGAAATCGTATGAATGATCGAGATGTTGCACTTACTGTTGGCATTGTCTCGCGATTGCTCAAGATCTACCTGAGAATGGAGTCTGTGGAATTTTTTCAAACCTATAGGCATGCAGTGCAAGATTTAAAGCTTTCTAAACCCGCTTGGGTCGACTCACTCTTGTTGTGGGCCGACCGCCGCAGGTACTTCCTGAAACAGGAGGAACGGGGTTACATTATCAGTGAAGTACGGCGGGTAAAGGCCAACATCAAAGGGAACAGCACTGATACCGATCTTAATAACAACATTAACAACGCATCGTTTAGAGGTTTGTTAGGTGGATTGCGTACCCAGTACGCCTTGATCGAGTATGATTACAATCAACAACCACTTAAGTACTTTCTGAAGCATCGAGAGGCCCCTCCTGTGGAACCGACGTTGTTAGACTCTCGTATGCACTTTTTGCTCAAAAAACCGTACTGTGTGGCTCAAGGACTTGCAGGGACGCCCAACGGGGTTGACGGCAAGTCGCCGCTTTCAGTGATAGCGGATCCTGTGCGTCGGATAGAAATATCATGGCGTGCATCTCTTCTTGGGCCGCTTCCTTTGCTATTGAAAATCACTTCTGGGGGTGATGATGATAATGAACAGCACCATCAGCGATTCTCCGTCTCACTCGGTAGTCATCCTGACTCTTCCACAACTACAGCAACCAACGATAGAGAGGTAGAGTGTCAAGAAGAGGCTTTTCGGGTGTATCTGTCCTACATGTTGGAGGGGTTACAGAGATCGAGAAATTTTGTCTAATGCAAAGAGAAAATCTGTCCTTTTCTTTTGACGCGTCTTTGAGCACAAATGATTTAGATTGCAATGAATAAACTTACTTTTTCTTAGTGTAAAGAATTTTACGTTTGGTGCCGCGAAGACTTAATTTTTGTTTGTAGATTATACTTCATGATTTTACATCTTTGTTTTTTCCACTTCTGAATTCATTAAGATATTTAGACTCTCTATGCCACTCAGCTAAATAAAGTAAAAGTAATAACAAACAGCATACTCATCAAATCGTCTTTCTTTGTGCGTCACAATAAAGAAACCTCTCTAGTGCTTACTGCCATTTTCTAACATTGACAGTGTGTGCTTAATTCATGTCGGATCGAGATGACGAGGATGATCGACTTAGCCTTAACTTTGGCGAAAATCAAGATGACGAGCCTGCGCTTAGCGACATAGACCGATCTGAAAATATAAACGATGAAGAAGACGTTAATGAAGAGAATCAGGAACTTATTCCAGATGAGGTTGCCGCCAATGTTATTCTCTCCGGCAGCGCACAGGCTGCCAAGGGCACCGTTCCCCGTAAACCCGCGGACCGCGTTACAGCGCCAGTGCTTACTAAATACGAGCGCGCCCGTATACTCGGCACGCGCGCGCTGCAAATCAGTATGAACGCGCCAGTTCTTGTGATGATTGAGGGCGAGACAGATCCCTTGACAATTGCCCAGAAGGAACTGCGTGAGCGTGTAATACCTCTCATGATTAGACGTATTTTACCGGACAATACTTATGAAGACTGGGCGGTCTCAGAGCTGGATGTGGACTTTGACCGTCCTGTGGATGAACGTTATACTAATTTGTAGCCTATTTGTCTGAATGTCTTTGGTAGAGTGTGTTGATATGTCTGACCCGAAGGGAAACAGATAATGTTTTAAATTACCTCCGATAATGCAGAGTTTAAATTTAGCTCACATTATTTTACATTACCTTAATTTTCAAAGGTAATAAATGTTCTGATTTTTGTTTCATAACCGGGTATCTAACCAATTTTTTAAAAAAATGTAATCTTAAAATATTGTAATTTTTCATTTTCTACAATTTTATTTTATTAGTTTAAACGTTCCTTTTCTGTCATAGTGCACTTAGAATCAGAATCATTAGTGGGAGTTAGAAATCATTGAACACGACTGTTTGCACACGATTCTTCTCCAGTGTATTGCACCGAAAGTACTATTTGATTTCGTCCGTCTCATTGAAGGGAAAAAGTAAACTTGGTGAAGTTTTTCTTATGTTCCCCTTGTCCTAGTAGTGGCTCGCTTGCAGAATGCATGAGTTTCTTCTGCAATACCTTTTCAATTTATATTTTTTAGATGTCTTATATGGGAAAAAAAAGTATAGGGCTGAAGGTGGAGGACCATATTTACAAAAGTACGTGAGTGGGTTCGTGCGCTAATGTTGACGAACCAGTTGTACCAAATTTATATTGAGTATTTTTTTTTACCACAAAAAGGCACAAATTCGTGCTAAGGTTTCATTAAAAAAAAATTATTGTTATTGTTTCAATGTTTTTAGATTCCCATCCACTGTGCATTTTTTCCATGGACGGACGGCCCTTTGTGTACTGGTTTGCGAACCTTGAGTTCTTATATGTAAAGGGCCCAGGTAAGATCTGTCAGCGTGATAACAAAGCAGCCATTGCAAAGATTGAAGCTGGGCAAACAACAACAAAGACTTGTTCTCCTATAGAATGACAAAAGTGATGATTGTATAGGTTGCAGAACCTTTTATTATGGGGTATGAAAGAGAGGCATTTAGTAGCCTATTTTTGAATACTCATGAACGGGTTAGCGCATGTGTAGTTTAGTGGTTTGTCACTTATTGCATGTTTTAGTGAATTCCGCATAACTATTTGTGGCAAATAGGGTACTTTAGAGAAGCACAAGAGGTGCGAACCATCAAGTGTTCCAGCAGAGGAGGATTTCTCAATGAAGAGTAATGAAATAAACTGATGAATATAGTTTAACTGAATGCAATCATGCTTTCAAAGAGTTAATTGTTTCTGCGAGCCTTTCCGATAATAAACCTTGTAAATGGGCTTTTGAGAATGCAGTTCTAAATTTTTTCATACATAATTATTACCTCACTTGAACCTTTTATTTCTCTGGAGCAGAGTCTTACTTAAGAAGGATTAATCTTGATTTTTTTTTATTACTATATCATAATTATTCCTTTGTAAACCTTTAGGGTAGTAAGCTTGAAAGGTTTAAAACACTAGAACGGAAATTCTATGGGCTACAGAGGAAAATGCCTATACGCTTTCAGCTTTTCTATTATGGCTCGTTTGAGCTGCTTAATCATAATGTTGAGTCTTAATTCCATCTTATAATATTTAGAAATATAGCTGTCTTTGGTCATGAATTAATATCTACTATAACCATCTATGACTTTACTTTTATTTTCCTTTTCTCAAAGTTAACAAACAAAAAAAAGTGTGTTAGTTTTATTGATGTATTCGTCTACACCAACAAAGCAATGCCTTCAACGACTCCAAAAGGAGTTACGTGCCCTCCAGAAGGAACCTCACAGTTACTTTGTCGCGGCCCCAGACCCACATAACATATTGATCTGGTGGGTGCGTATCACCGGCCCACCCGACACTTGTTACGCTGGTGGCTACTATCTTACACAAATTAGGTTTCCCGCTGATTATCCGTTCAAGCCGCCTAGTATCAAGATGTGCACCCCTAGCGGTCGCTTTAAAACAGACACAGACATTTGTCTTTCCAACAGTTCTTTCCATCCTGAGGAGTGGAGCCCGATGTGGAGTGTCAACACCATCATAACTGGTATGATTTCTTTTTTTGTGTCAAAGGAAAAGGCAATGGGTACAATAGAAGGATCCGAGTCAGAGCGCAAGAATTATGCAAAAGAGAGTCGCACTTACAACGTAAGACGCCTTGGCGCTTTCTACAGGCGTTCCCTGCCTGAAGCCTATATGGAAGATTTAAAGTACGTGGAAATGGAGGAAAATAGAGAAAAACATTTACCTGATCATGAAAACATTGGTGGTAGTACCACATTTTGGAAAAGAGGGGTTAGGTCGTCCCAAAAGGGAAATCTGCATAATTTAGATGGTAAAATAAGTACACCAGCAAAAATTTATAAAGATATAAAATCTACAGTATTGCCAATAAACAGTAGCAGCGATGTTCTAGTCAGACCCTTGCATTCATCTTCGGATCAAATAAGTTTGAATACCAATGACCACCCCTCAAAGGATATGATGACTTCGAGCTGGCGTAGTCTGGCAGTTATGACAGTGTTTCTGGCAGCCGTACTGGGTTTATTTTGCTGTACGCGAGGACATTAAATCTGTTTTTTTTCACGAATGAGCTCATTGTTTGAGGTGCTATGGAGCTTGAAGTGTTAAATCTTATACATATATGTAATAAAGGAAGAGCTTCAATTTCGCAAAGCAACGTGCTTTTTTTTTAGTTCTTGAGATTTTTGATGCGGAAAATAAAAGAAGTATTGATTTTACTTTCTAATTATTTTAGTTGCATCTTTTTTACATTTTGGCGTACCTGCGCTTTACCTAAGACTGTTACATCATGTATGTAGCCCTTCTGTGATGTCACTGACGAACTAGAAA